GACAGCTGCGGCCTCGGCGCCGCTCAGGCCCGCCGCCACGTGACGCGCGGGTCACGTGAACACCGTGACGTCACGCCGCCGCCGGAAGCCGAAGCGGCCGGGGACCCCGCGCCTCTTTCCGGTCCGGGTTCCGCCTCTTGGTTCCGCCCAGCCCCGAGCATCCTGCCCGGGTCCGAGGGTCTCGCGTGGCCCCGGCGCGGCCCGGGAGCCCCCGGGCGCCGAGACTGGCCTTAGAGCCGGCAGTGGTGGTGCTAAGCCGTCGGGGCGACCCCTCCCTGGGCAGCCCCTGGACACCGCCGCGTGGGGCCAGAACGTTGGTTTTGTTTGTCCCTTTGGTCGAGATAAAATAAAGCGAAGGGACCGAGGGGCAGCGCAGGGGTCCGGACGGTCACCTGGCACACGGCCGACCCGGGTTCGATCCCCAGCGTTCCCTAGGGTCCCCCGAGCACCGCCAGGTCTGGTTCCCGAGTGCAGAGCCAGGAGGAACCCCCGAGCACCCCTCGATGTGACCCCAAAAGCAAAATAAATAAATAAAAGACGCAAAGTGACTAAGGACAAAATTGGTCCTCGGCCTGCTGGAAAGTCTCACCTTCGGGGCCGGAGATAGCTCCGGGATGGAGGCATTTGCCTGCAGGAGGGATGTGCTTCCTGTGCTCCAGCCCCTGCAGCCCCCCAAAGAACGCTGATGAGTAAGGCTCAGTGTTGGCCAGGGAGAGGCGCCCAGCTTCGGAAGCTTCTGGAGCCTGGGAGCTGACTCCACCACCGCTGCCAGGTGAGGCTCTGCTAGCACCGCTCACCAGCCCACTGCACTGCTGCTTGCTCAAAATTTCAAGGTCGACTGAAATTTGTTTTGTCTTTTTAGAAATGTTGTTTTCTTTGTGAATTTTTTCAATCCTAGTGAAATACACGGAGTTGATCATGATTGTTGGATTTCAGTCATATCATGTCCCAACACCTGTCCCTTCACCAGTGTACATCGCTCACCACGAATCTTCCCGGTCTCCCTACTCCCCCAGGCAGGCAAGGCACCTCTCTCTCCCTCCTCCTTTCTGCAGTGCTCTCTCTCTCCTCCCTCTCTCCCTGTTTTCTGTCTCCCCCTCTCTCTGACACACGCCTTTCGGTTTACAATACAGATATGGAAAGGTTATTATGTGTATCTCTTTACCTACTTTCAACACCCAGTTCCCGTCCAAAGTGATTTCCAACCATTTCCAAGCATTATTGCCAGACTGGTCCCTACTCTGTCCCCAATGCTTGTGGGAGCTTCCAACCATTGACCAGTCCTCCTGGCCTCCATTTTCCTAGCCTTGGATATCAATCCCCTGTATATCTCTGTGTGTGTGTGTGTGTGTGTGTGTGTGTGTGTGTGTGTGTGTATATATATTATGGGCTGGAGCAATAGCACAGCGGGTAGGGTGTTTGCTTGCACGCAGCCAACATGGCCGACCCAAGTTCGATTCCTCTGCCCCTCTCGGAGAGCCCGGCAAGCTACGGAGAGTATCTCGCTCGCATGTAAAGCCTGGCAAGCTACCCGTGGCATTTTCGATATGCCCAACGCAGTAACAAGAAGTCTCACTATGGAGACGTTACTGGGCCCGCTCGAGCAAATCGATGAACAACAGGAGGACCGTGACCATACATATTATATTCCACGAAATGGGTGCTTGTATTTGTCAAGGGAGTTGGGAACCATATCCAGCAGTGCTGAGGCTCCTCCTAACTGCGCAGGCATCACTCCTGGAGGGGATGCTGGGGACCATAGGAAGTGCCAGGGAAAAGACTCTGGGTTTGCTGCTTGCTAGGCATCAGCCTTGCCCCAGGGCTCTCTCTCCAATCTACAGTTTACTGACTTACAACCTAGTATTACAGAATATTCACAGTACGATGTAATATTTGGATATCCTACAAAGTAACCATGATTCATGTATAGACCGTTTGAATTCCCTACCATAGATTCTAAAGTCAAGGACTGCTATTGGGGCTTATGTAGGCTAAAAGTAACGTTCTTGCTCAAGCTCTTTTTCAGGAAAAATCAACCTGAGGACACGTGTGCTTCAAACGTACAGGAGTTGGTGCTTATAAACATCGTTGGTTCTGTTAATTTTGGGTTAATAATATAGCAACTTCCAGTTTCTTTCCCAGACTTTATGGATTGATGGTGTCTGTACTGCATGGTGTCCCTTTATTTTCGTCTTGTCAAATAGCTATGGAGAATCACTGAAGGTATTCATTTTAGGCTACATTGGTTAGGAAGCTTTGCAATAATGCAATAAAGGTTTTATTTGTTTTGGGTTTTTTTTTTGCCATTAAACCTCACCCAGTGGTTCTATTATTTTTCATCTTTTATAATTTTATTTATTGAATCACCATGAGAGCAGTTACGAAGCTTTCGGGTTTAAATCTTGGTTATAAAATGAAAGACCCGTACCTTCACCAGTGCCATTCTCCACCACCCAAAACCCCAGTATGCCCCCATCCCACACCCTCCCCCTACCTGTGGAGAGATGATTTTCACATTACACTCTCTCTACTTTGATCACATTCAATATTTTGACACTGGACCCACCATTATTATTTGGGATTTTACCCCAACACACAGAGCTGCTGAAAAGGCAACAGTAGACAATTTGTTTTCTATTCCTGGTTATGAATAACGTATGATGTCGCGTGGTTGTAGTAGTGGCTGCGCGATTTTGAAATTCCAAAATTTTAACAATTAAATCTGGAGGGATTTCTTGCCAAAACCTGCTGGGTTCCAAGATTTGTTCCTGAGTCTGTGGGATCATGGCCGTTAAGCAGATTGATCGGGAGCCAGAAAGGCCATTAGTGGGCGGTGACTAGGGGTCTTGCTGGGATGGGGAGGAAAGGGCTGGTCCCACCCCCATCCCGTGAGGCCCCACATGTCTCATCACTGAGGGCCCAAACCTGACTGTCCAATGGCCTCTGGAGGATGGCGGCCACCGAGCCGCCAAGGGGGAGCAGGTGGAGGGACAGCACCCTTTCCTCCCTGGAATGGCCCAGCGACAGTAACCTACTGCAGGGTCCAGATGCATTTCTGCCAAAAGCCACTGGATTCCGAGATTTGTGTCTGAGTCTCTGGGATCATAGTCATTCAGCACCTTAATCAGGACCCAGAGAGGCCGTTCATGGGCGGCGACTTGATGTCACGTTGAGACGGGGAGGAAAAGGCTGGCTCCACCCCCATCCCATGAGGTCCCCCTTGTCTCATCACTGAGGGCCCAAACCTGACTGTCCAATGGCCTCTGGAGGATGGTGGCCACAGAGCCGCCAAGGGGGAGCAGGTGGAGGGACAGCACCCTTTCCTCCCTGGAATGGCCCAGCGACAGTAAACTACTGCAGGGTCCAGATGCATTTCTGCCAAAAGCCACTGGATTCCGAGATTTGTGTCTAAGTCTCTGGGATCATGGCCGTTAAACAGCTTGATCAGAAGCCAGAGAGGCCGTTTGTGGGTGACAACTTGGGGTCTTTTTGTTTAGGAAAGGGCTAGCTCCACCCCCATCCCATGAGGCCCTACGTGTCTCGTCACTGTGGGCCCAAACCTGACTGTCCAATGGCCTCTGGCGGATGGTGGCCAATGAGCCACCACGGGAGAGCAGGCGGAGGGAGAGCACCCTTTCCCCCCCGGGGTGGCCCGGCAACAGTAACCTATTGTGCGATCTGGACGCATTTCTGCCAAAAGTTGCTGAGTTTCGAGATTTGTTTCTGAGTCTCTGAGATCATGGCCGTAAAACAGCTCGATCAGAAGCCAGAGAGGCCGTTTGTGGGTGACGACTTGGGGGTCTTGTTGGGGAGAAAAGGGCCAGCTCCACCCCCATCCCATGAGGCTCTACGTGTCTTGTCACTTTGGGCCCAAACCTGATTGTCCTGTGGCCTCTGGAGGATGGCGACCAGTGGGCTGCCAGGGAGAACAGGCCAGGGCACGAAATCTATTCCCACCTGGGGTGGCCCAGCGCCTCTAACCTACTGCAGGGACTGGACACATCTCTGCCAAAAAACATTGGGTTTTGAGATTTGTTTCTGAGTCTCTGGGATCATGGCTGTTAAGCAGTTCAATCAGGAACCAGAGAGGCCATGTCTCCAATTATATAGCTGAACTGGAGGTGGTTTGTGGGTATATCTCCCACATATCTTTTACCTGTTTACTTTCGTGGTCAACTCTGCCTCAAGTTTTTGGGGTCTGGCCAAACGCACGGCAGCAATTTGGGGGTACCTGGAAGTCTGAAGGCGCCATCAGGCTGCTGATGCACTCGCCTCACAGGTACAGACTGACCTGCTGGTGGCACCATACCCCCAACCCAGTGCTTCTTAGGGTTTACTCCTGCCTCTGCACTTAGAGATTGCTCCTGCCAGGACACAGATGACTGGATGGGATTCCTGCCATTGAACCCAGATCAGCCACATGCAAGTACCCTACTCACTGCACTATCTCTTTAGCCCAAGATAAACGCTTTTAAGAAAATGGTTTACAGGCCCAGAGCAATAGTGCAGCTGGTAGGGCATTTGCTTTGGCCAATCTGGCTTCAATCCCTGTAATTCCATATAGTCTGCCCAAGCACTGTCAGGAGTGATTCCTGAGTGCAGAGCCATGAATAAGCCCTAAGACATCACCAGGGGTGGCACAAACATAAAGAAACAAAAAGAAATTGGTGTATCAGAATTCCATTGTAGAAACTGTTTGACTCATTTGACTCTATAGTTCTTCACTGCTAGCCAAAAATCTTTTCTAAATAAACCTGAGAATAATCAGTTATCACTGGCAAAAAATAAATAATTTTATTAAAGTAGATATAGAACACTTGTTTGCTCAAATTTTAATACTGCTTTACATAGTTTGTGAAACAATTCCAATAATGGTCATTACTAAAAATTTCAATGGATCCAGATCTTTCACTTGTCAGACAGCTGATAATCTCCAGAGGAAAATACATCAAAATCATACATATAATTATAGAAGTTCTTATTATACATGTAGCCTGGATGGTACGTTATCACTTTTGACAGAACTAGAAAACATTCAAATAAAGAAAAATAGATTGAAACTGGATGATAAACTTCTGATGGTTGAGGTCCTTCATTCAATCTTTTTGTGGTAAGAAAATCCAAAATTAGTAATGTTGAATTTCTCATCATACATTCATCTAAAACCACAGTGAAAAATGTAACCCTTGTAAAGACAGTAAAATGGTTATTCTAGGTGTTTCACAAATAGCTGGTTATGTCATCCTTCAAGTGCTGGTGATTGCTGCACAGTGCAGAGAATGGGGTGGCCGGGCCGAAGTTGTCGTCGTAATTGTTGAGTCGTCCCCGTTCCCGTCGAGAGCCACCTCGGATATCATCTCCACTTTCATCTTGAGGTCCTGATTCTTTCTTTGGAGGTCCACGATCACGGAATTCAGGAAATCGATCTGTGTTAAAGGAGAGCGTGAGACAGTGAGCCATCTGCGGGAGCCATCGGAGCCCGCCACAGAGGAGGCTGGGCCCCGCTTCCAGTCCCCGCCCCAGGGTTGGAGGCAGCCAGAGCTCCCCTTTCCCTTCCTGAGCGCAAGCTCCCGGGTGCCCCAGGGAAGACCCCAGGAGGACATGCTGGGCCCCCTCGGTTCCTCTCAGAGCAGGGAGTCAAGAGGGCCTTCCCTCTCCTACAAAGACAGACTCACTTCTTTAAAATCCACGGGGCGGGGGTGGGGAATCCCACTTTACAAAGGTAAGCATGACTATAGGCACAAACATTCATGTTTCACTTAAAAACTGGCAGGTTTGGGTCTGAGTGATAGCACAGCGGGAAAGGTGCTTGCCTCGCACGCAGCCAACCCAGGTTTGATCCCTGGCATCCCATAGGGGCCACTGGAGAGCAGCCAGGAGTGATTCCTGAGTGCAGAGCCAGGAGGAAGCCCGGAGTATCGCCAGGTGTGGCCCCCAAAGAAAGAAGAAAGAAAACCATAAAGCTGACTGATTCTTTTTCTCCCTCGGGGCAAGTTCTGATGAGGAGTCTCTGAGAGTGCCCAGGCCCTCCCACACTGGAGCCAAGAAACACAGATCTCTCTTCCTCCAGGTGAAGAAAACTAACACAAAAAAACATGGAAATGTTCAGTTCCCAACAAGCCCATGCAGGGTCCACCTCCACAGCCCACATGCAAAGTTCACTTCAGCCCACATGTGCTGTCCAGGACAACGGCTGTTAAGTACAGAAGTGCAGGAAGTGAGGGTGTGCGGGAACTCCACAGGGCACTGGGACCCAGATGGTCCCCTTCCTTGGAGAGGATTCAAATTATAAAGTGTTGCAGGCCAGGTGGGATGGAAGGGGGTTTGGGAAGGAGAGACATCAAGGAGGCCCCAAGGCTGACTCCTGCCGCAGGCCAGACGCAAGCCTGGTGATGGTAGGTGCGGGCACTGGGGTCTGCAGCCAAGTGTGCACACCCCAGAAGACCCCACCCAGCTGTCTCCCTCGACAGGAGCAAGAAGCAGGAAGGCGGCCCAGAGGACCAGACTCCCCAGCTCTGCGCCCAGAGCATGCACAACGTGGCCGGGACAGCCACATGTTGGTGGACGTTTCCGTTTGCGACCGGACCTTCCTGATGGGAAGGAGGCCCTCCAAAGTGGTGTTCGACTCTGGCAAAGTGAAGATTTGCCAATTTTATGGGAGCCCGAAGCCCAGGTTCTGGGAGAGCAGCAGGAGTAAGGGCTGTGGAGGGGTCTGGCTTCTCGGCTCTGGCAAGGACGTGACCCCTTGACTGAAGGGATGTGTCCTTGTCCATGGGGCCTTTCACTCCGTAAGCATCACCTCTTGTGCTGGGAGCATGTGGGGATGGGGTTCCGGCAGCGTGTGCCCAGACCCTGGTTCTCACGCGCGCCAGGTGAGCACCGCCCCTTCTTCCTCAGCTTCCTTCTTTTTGGCTTCTTTTATTGTGATTAATGAATTCATTTGGCGGGGGGGGGCTTTTGGGTTACAACCCATCGTTGCTCAGGAGTGACTCCTGGCTCTGCACTCAGGGACCATATGGGATGCCGGAGATGGAACCTGGCTTGGCCACGTGCAAGGCAAACACCCTACCTGCTGTGCTGTAGCTCCGGCCCCACTCTCGGATATTTTAAATGGTAGGTATTCCCCGACTCTTTTGAAGCATACACACATATATACATATGTACATGTCTGTGTATGTATACGCGCTCATCTATAACCTTTGTGGGTAGTCAGTTTGGTTTGTTTGGTGCGGTGGGGACTATGCCCTGGCTCTGTGCTCAGGGATCACTCCTGGCGAGGGAGGAGCAGCCCAGGCCGTCAGCAGTCACTCGAGCCCGGGAAAGTGGGGCTGTGTGGTCAGAGGGCACTGGCTCGCCTTCTCACGGTCATCAAAGAGCCTTGAAATGCTGCGTATGTCAACACATGTGGCTTCTCTTCCTGTCCCGGCCCAGGCTCTGGGCGAGCTAACTGGGGCGTCCAGTCCCTGCCGGGCTCCTTGCTCCGCCGAGCAGTCTGGGAGTGGTCAGCTGTTCAGTGATCTCGCCAGGCCGCCCCATGTCCCCCAGATTCTGTGTGGTCACTCCGCGCAGCACCTCCCCAGGGGTCATACAGGGGTCATGCAGGGGTACACTTCCCCTCCTGTCCCATGCGAGAACCAGGGACCAATTACTCCTGGCAGTGCTCAGGGGACCAGATAGGATGCCGGGGATTGAACCTGGGTCTGGCGTGTGTAAGTCAAACGCCCTCCCCGCTGTGCTATCGCTCTGGCCCAGGATATAGTTTCTCTCAAGGCTGAGGCCGGGCCTACACGCCCTGGTCACCACCATCACCCACCTCATTCTGCAAGTTTGCATTGGTGTTCCTGGTGTCCTCCAGGGAGGCCAGGGTCTCTGTCTTCTCCTGGGACAGTTGCTGCATAAAATGCCTGGCATCTTCCGCTGTCTGCACAGCCTGGAGAGAGAAACCTCGTTGAGCCACGCCGGGGGGGGGGGGGCAGGGAGGGGTTGGCAACAGTGGCACAACACAGCGCGAAACGCCCCACAAACCACCCACACCTGCCACAGTGGCTCCGGCCCCGCTGGCCGCCGGTTCATCCTGCGGGGACTCACGTCTGAGCCGCTCAGCAGCAAGACTGACACCCAGAAACAGCCCAGGGCTCCCAAGAGCCTCCATTCCTCACACAGAATAAAAATGACATGAGCGGACAGCTAAGCAGGCCTGGGTGGAAAGCGTGGGGGGGGGGGGGGGGAAGGAGAGGAGATGTGAGCAGTGAGCACAGGTGTGGGAATGGGAGAAAGGTAAACCCTGAGTGAGGTGGGAAGAGAGAACACCTGCCCGGCACCAGGCACCCTCGAGTCCAGGCTGCCCTGCACCGGGCACACTGCTGGTGGCACAGGGCACCCCCGAGTCCCAAGTGAGCAGACTCAGGGCAACCGCTCAAAGTCCCCCCGGAAGACAATGCTTTGCTTTACAACTTAGTGCCTCTCTCATGCCTTCCCTTACGTCTTGAAGAGCCACAGTGCAATCTTCCGTGAGAACTCCCCCCGGAAATGAACATACTGTCCTTTCTCGGTTTTCTTCACAGCTTATGCCTTGTCCTAGAGGTCAGCAGGCACGTGGTGACGAGCTGTCCCTGCGCCCGCAGCAAACAGCCCGTGACACACGGGTTCCGTGGGGATCCACCGCTCCTTGTGCCGACGAAAAGCAATCCTCTTAACCGCTAAAAGGGGGTGCCCGGGGCCAACAAGGGTCGGGCCTGCTCCACTTTACCGTAAAAGAGTGCAGCGTCTTGAGCTCTCTGATCTTGAAGGTGAGCCTGATCTTGTCCTTCCTCAGTATGCGGTTCTCCTTCTGGGCCTCCAGGAGGTTGGCCGAGACGTGGCTGCTGGTCTGGGCCAGCCGACTGACCTCCTTCTGGAGGAGGAAGTAACTGCCGGCCAGCTGCTCCTTCTCCCGCAGGATCTCGGCCACCTTCTCTTCTGACCGCGCCTTCTCCTCCAGCAGGTCCAGGTGCTCGGCCTGCAGCCCCTGGGCACGCGCCCGCAGCTCCTCCGCCTCCTGCTCCAGCAGCCCCAGGCGGCCTCGCAGCTGGCTGGCCTCGTGGGCGGCCGCCTGGGTCTCCTTGGCGCGGGCCTCCCGCTCCTGCGCCAGGGCCTGCTGTGCCGCGAGCCTGTCCTCCGCCAGCCGCCGGCACTCCTCCTGCCGCTCGGCGTCAAGCGCCTCCTTGGCCTGCAGCACGCTGGCGTGTGTCTTCTCCAGGCTGCGGGCCGCGTCCCTGGCCTCCTGCAGCGCCGCCTCGAGGGCGCCCTGGCTGGCCGCCAGCCCCTGGAGCTCCTGCTGCAGCGCCTCCAGCTCGGCCTTGTGCACGGTCTTGGTGGCCTCGTCCAGCTGCGTGCGCAGGCAGCTGGCCTCGGTGCCCAGCAGCTCCTTGGCCTGCAGCGCCGCCTCCAGGCTGGCGCCCAGCTTCTCCTGCTCCTGGCGCAGCAGGTCCTTCTCGAGCTGCAGCTCCTTGTTCCTCTGAGCCAGGCCGTCACGCTCCAGCTTCAGGGCCAGGCACAGGCTGTCGAGCTCCAACTGCTTCTCGAGGGCCGACTCTTTCTCGGCCGTGAGCTCCTCGATCTCTTGCGCCAGCGACTTCTGATCCCAAGCCAGCTCATGATAGGAGCACTGCAGCTTCTGGATGATGTTGTCCTTGTCCTTGGCCAGGGATAGGTTCTCCAGAACCAGCTTCTTGACATGCTCCTCCAGCTGGCCCCTCTCCTCCAGGCCCTTCTTACACTCGGCCACCAGGCCGCTCTTGCTCATCTGCAGCTCCTCCACCAGGGCCTGCAGCCCCACCTTGGCGACCTGCAGGGCGTCGTTCTCCGCGCCCACCCTCTGGAGCTCCTCCTGCACCGCCCTGGCTTCTTCCAGCACTTTCTCTTTCTCTGCCTCGAGGGCTTCTCGGCCGAGCTGCTCCTCCTGCCAGAGCTTCTCTGCGGCCCGCCTGGCCTCGATGACCTTCTCTTTATCGAAAAGAATCGCTTGGTTCAACAGCCAGAGCTTCCTCTGCTCTTCCCGCAGCGAAGAGTTTTTGGCCTCCGCTTCCTTCAACTTCAATAGCAATGACTCTCTCTCTGACTTCAGAGAGAGCTTCTCCTTCGCCAGCAATTGATTCTCTGACCTCAGGGCCCTGCGATCCTCCGACATCAGCTCAATTTCCTCTGATGTTATTAGGTAAGTTAATGACTACAGAAACAAAAGCGGGCAAGAACGGAAACAAGAATGAGATCAAGCAGGCACAAGCAAGCCAAGCACTTAATGTGGCCTAAACACCAGAAATGAAAATGGCAGAGTAGTCTTACCTGCACACGCGTGCATACGTGCATGCACACACAAACACACAAACACGTGCGCGCACACAAACGCACACACACGCACACACACACACACACACACTCGCAGGATGGAGAGGCTCAAACGCAGTTAGCTTCACAGGGTCAACATATCTACCTGCCTATTTTGTGGATGGGGGCCCCACACCTGGTGGTGTTCGGGTCTCGCTCAGGGTTCTGTGCTCAGGGATCACTGCTGGCAGGGCCGGAGGACCATACGGGATGCTGGGGATCAACCCGGGTTGGCCAAGTACAAGGCAGCACTACCCATTCTACTATCAGCCATTTTATTTTTGAAATGCCGTCTGAAATTATTCCTGACAGCTCCCCGGAAGTTTTAAGTACAGTTGGATCTTGACATTGGGGCATAAGATTTTTCCCCCCACTTCAATTATTCCATTACAAAATCCATCACTCTGTCATAGAAGGGATGCATTAAAAAACTAGTTTCCAGTACAATTCAAAGAACTACAAAAAGTATTTTGTTGTTGAACTTTGTGCAGGAGGGGAAGGGAAAAGCAACCATTGCTTGCAAAACGACTTTCACAGGGACAAACAGAGGCAGGAAATGGACTTAGTCCCAAAAGTTTTACACTTTATAGAAAATCCAGACTAATCCACCAAGCTTTGGAGACTGAAGCCAACAGGTTTTGCTTGCCAAACACAGTAACAACAAGTCTCAAAATGGAGACATTAGTGGGCCCGCTCGAGCAAATCGATGAACAATGGGAGGGCAGTGTTTGCAGAAATTTGGGAGGGGCCCAGGGGCTCCAGGAGGAGTGGCCGCACACGGGCCAGAGTCTCCCTCACCTGCTCTCCCTGCCCGTCAGCAACGGGTTGTGCGTCTTCGTTTCTGAGTCTCAATGCACACCATAGTTTAACCGCCATGTACTTTCCAGAACTTTCTGCAGCAAGGGCTATCTTCTCTGTCCAGCTCAGCAGCCATGAGCCGCAGCAGGCTACTGGCGTGCGCTGCGCTGGGCAGCTGACCGCTGACGGTCAGGTTACTGGAATGGGACTGACCTGAGCATGCACACGAGGCTGCTGGCCACAGAACTGGGCCGTGCAGGTGGTCCAGGGAGGAGACGTAGCCCTGGCTCTGGTGCGTGGTGGAAAGAGGCCGGGCACCAACACACACGCGGGCCATGGCCGCCGCTCAGCAGCCCTGGTTTCCTCTGATGTAAGCTCGGTTCCGTTTTCTTTCCACTGGCTTATAGATATGTATACACACACATATACATACAAGCACATATATGTATAGGCATACACATATATGTATAAACTATACATGGGACCAAGTGTGTAAAACTGAAAATGTATCAAAATATGTACATATGAATTAAAATACACTTATTATATGGATATAAAGATGTACACATATGTACATGTTATGTATGTACACACATATATGTGTGTGTACATTATTTTCCTTCTTGTTTTGGGGTTCACACCCGGCAGAGGTCACGGCTTCCTCCTGGGTGCTTGGGGGACCATGGGGGATGCTGGGGATCCCCCGGTGGGTCACGTGCACAGCAAGTGCCCTCTCACTGCACTAGTTCCAGCCGCTTTATTTCTCCCCACTGAGCTTCGAACCTTAACATTTCTTTGATACATGAAAAAATGCCTTTGAGCAGTCAAGTGAAAACACGAAGGCCTGAACTTACTGAGCAAGCTAAAAACAAAACAGACAACCCAAGCTGGGGTCCCTGGGCTTCTATGTGCTCTGCCGGGCGCCCTGGGAGCAACCCCCTTCTGGCTCTCACAGGCGCCGACGGACGGAGGAAGTGTCTGAGGCTGCAGGCCGAGGCCCCCAACAGAGCCCGACCCCGAGACGGCGGCCCTGCGCCCACACACCTTGGCCTTGTCGGCTTGCGTCTTCAGCTCGGCCACCTCCCGCAGCAGGCTCCCGTTCTCCGCCTGCACCGCCTGCAGCTTCTCCTCCGCCTGCAGCAGCAGCTTCTGCAGGGCCTGCAGCGCCTCCTCGTGCTGCGCCTGGCTCTCCGTGGTGGACTTGGCGTGCTCGGCCTGCAGAGCCTGGGACTGGCTGCGGCTCACGTCCACCTTCTCCCCCTGCGGGGAGCCGGGGGCCACCATCAGCTGTGGGCCCCCTGCCTGCCCCCAGCACACACGCGCGCACACACACACACAACGCATACAATGCACACAAACACACAAACACACAAACATACCCGCACACACACGGCGACTCTGCTCACCAGCACATACACACACACAATGTGAGCCTCAGAGGCGATAGGGCCGAGCTCGCCTGAGGAGGCTTCGCTTTGCCCTCAGCAATGTAAAGATCAGCGTCCGACTCCCCTGGTACTCACCAAACTCCGAAGCTCTTTCTCCAAAGCCTCCTTCACTCGACTGACTTCGTTCAAGTTCTCCTGAAGACTACGAAGCGCTAGCTCCTTCCCCTGCAGCTCCTCGGCCAGGCTCTCGGCCTACCAGAGAGACAAGGATGGAGTGAATGGACCAAAAATACGAACAGGAACAGGAAGGGGAAAACAAAACAGAAAGCACGTATGAGAAGCCCATGACCCAACACAACCCCGAAAAACAGAGGCGTGAGGTGAGTGCGATTGCCTGAAGTTCTCAAAGCCAAGGCCTTGGCGCCGTCAGTTCTGGTGATGACTGTCTAGTGGTTACTGAAAACGGCTCAAACAGAGGCGTTTTCTAGACCTACATTTGGAGTGACCAGAAAATAAGAAAGCCTATGAGAAAGACTGACTTTCCAGGGGCGGGGAGACGGCACAAAGGGCTGGAGTACACACCAGGCCCGAGTTGGAACTGCAGCACCACTGGGCGAGCCTGAGATCGGTCCACAAGCTGAAAGACCCACTACTGCTGGGCGGGAGGACCCCAGAGCCGAGAGCATGGCTTGGCGAGGAAGAAGGACGTAAGCAAGGGAGGAGGGAGGCTAAGGATACGAAGGAGGGAGGGAGGAAACAGGGAAGAAAGGGAAAGGGAGGGAAGGGAGGGAAGAAAATGTTATCTTTTTTTTTTTTTTGGCCCGCTTGAGCTAATTGATGAACAAAGGGAGGACAGTGACAATGACAGTGACCCTATGGGATGCTGGAGATCGAACTCACGTAGGCCGTGTGCAAGGCAAATGCCCTTCCCACTGTACTCTGGCCCCCAAGATTTACTTTCTTGTAGTTTCTTGTCTGTGACTTTAAAAGTTTGAGGGGTTTCAATATGAAATTTAAATTGAAGAACCTCTAATCCACTAGACAGCAGAACGTGACGTTTGTTACATCTTGATGCGAACAAGTGGTTCAACTATGCCCTGCTGTGTCCTAGGAATTGATTCTGTTTGTTTCTGGAATGTCAGCTAAGGAGTCCTGAGTCCTGAGAGGAACTCCCGGGGGTCTCTGGGTCCTTCTGTTATGTCTGTCAGTCCTGTCTACAAATCCCACAGCCCTTCCATCTTGGCCAACAGAGAAGTTTCTTCAACAAAGCGCACAGCGCCATGGGGGCCGGTGGGGGGCGGCTGGGAGGGTGCGTCCTGCCACCACAATCCTATAGGAGTTAAAGGGCATTTTTCCAAGGGGCTCCTGGGTGAGAACTGCAGCTTCCTCGGCTTGGCCCAGATCTCACTGTCTTGTCCTTCCCCAGGGTCAGGGCTACCATGAGAGTCCATGTCCGTGGCCAGCAGGAGGCCATGCTGGAAGGCGGACTTGGCCCAAGCACCCCTTAGAGGCTGAAAGGGATGAAATCTCTGCAGGGCTGGGCAGGGGCTTGTGCTGCAGGCAGGGAGGGGCCGGCAATGAGAAATACCAAGATGGGCCACGTCACCAGCCCTGAGGGAGCTCAGAGGCTCAGAGGCATTGAGCACCAGCTGGAAACTGAGGCGCCTCGGGGAGAGGTTGGCAAAGCCAGTCACACGAGCAGGTGGTCAGCAAGGTCAGGGAAAGAACCCTGCGGCCAGACTCGAGCCCAAGGGTCTGGGCGGACTCGGCGAGTACGCAGGGGGCCCAAGGGGGGGGGGCAGAGGTTTGCTTTGGGGGCTCCTATCTTGTTTTCTCACTGGCCTTGTGAAGAGTTCTCAGTTTCAGAAAGACCCCAGACGGGCCCAATTAGCCGGGGCCAAGGCTTGCACGGCATCTGGGTGCTGGGGACCAATGACAGTCCCAGAATCGTGCCGACACGTTCTCAGTCCCATCAGAGGGAACCGCACGGGACGTGACCGGGAGACCTGTCAGCACCAAGCCGGAACACGGCGGCGAGCAGACAGACACACAGCATGCAGGGAGCGAGCGTGGAAGTGGGCGAGGGCACCCGGGTACCAACCTGCCACTCTCGGCCCGCTTTGCATTCTCTAACTCCTGAATCTGCTGCTCAGCCACCTGGAGCTGCTGCCTGAGCTTCTCCATTCCCAATTGACCTCGGAACTGGCCTTTCGGAGCCCATCGAGCTGCAAGAGCTTCTGCTGGGTGGCCTCCAGCTGCGCCGTGGCGTCGGCCAGGGCCTGGGCTTGCTGCCTACACATGGCCCGCAACCCCTCCAGGTGCGTTACCTTCGTCTCCGCCTCCTGCAGCTTGTTCAGGGCGTCCTCCATCTCCACCAGGTGCTGGTCCTCGGTCTGGTCGAGCTTGGCCCGCGCGGCCTCCAGGCTGTTCTTCTGCTCCTGGGCTGTCCTGACCAGCCGCGACCTGAGCGTCTGCAGCTCAAAGGCGTGCGCTGCACGCTCAGCCACCTGCTGGGCCTTCGAGTTCTCTACCTCCTGCTGGTACTCGAACTGCAGCCTCTCCATCTGCATCTTGAGCTCGGCCAGCTCGGCCGCCTCGGCGCCCACGCCCCGGCTCACGGACGCCTTCGGCTCGCCCATGGCCTGTTGGTGCGGGGCGATGGCCGTCTCCAGCTTGGACTTCCACGGGGCGATCACGTCCGTGTTTTCCTCGTTGGCATGGTCCAGCTTAGTTCTCAGCCCCTCGTTCTCCTTGGCGAGCTTCTCGGAGGCCGCCTGCAGGGCCTTCACCTCCTTCTGGTGGGAAAACAAAATTTCCATGAACTTAAAACAGGAAGGAAAAGAAGCAGAAATAGAAATTATTCTTTTGCAAACTGACTGTTTGCTTTTTCTTGTTTTAAGGAATACCTTCCAATAAACTGGGGTTCTAAAGGATTTGATTTGTGCTGCTCGACTGAAAATCAAAGCTGAGGCAAAGGCGTAGACCCAATTGTCAGAACGAGAGGAAAACGCTCATCAACAGCAGCCTCCGGCCCCAAGGAGCAGAGGTGCCTCCGCCGGGCCCTGCCAGGTGCATGACCCCTGGTATCCCTGTCTGATTCTGAGTCTCCAGCAGAAGTGGTCCCGGCGGGGTCGGCCAGGCCACCCCGCATCCTTGCCTGCACCCTGCAAGCCTCTGGGACCTGCCCGGGCTTTACCTCCAGGTCGCCTTTGGTGATGGACTCCTCTTCGACTCGGAACTGGAGGTCCTCCACTTTCCTGTGGGGGAGAGGGAGAGTTGTGAGGGGCGTCACTGCTGCCCCCCATGAGGGCCACCATCCTGTAGATGCGCGCCTGACCCAGCCCCCGCCTCCACACACAGGAGGGCTGAGAGAGTCAGCGAGGGCCAGAGCGAGAGTACAGCGGACAGGGCATTTGTCTTGGCACGTGGCCGTCCCGGGTTCAATTCCCAGCATCCCATTATGGTCCCCTGGGCAATGCCAGGAGTAATTCCTGAGTGCCGAGGCAGGGAGCATCGCTGGATTGACCCAAAAAGAAAAAAAAAAAAAGTCAGCGAGTCCCCTCGGCTGTGAGCACTGGGTGGTACCCGCAGGCTACAGGAGGAAGCTCTGTCGAGCCAACGCCAGGCGCACTGTCATATCAGCCTTTTCTGCCTCGCAGCTAACAGAGGTGGTTAGAGACTGACCAGGTGCGCGTGCCAGTCCCTCCCAGCCAGCGCCTGTCCCCACATCGGGACAACAACTGAGCCCCTGGGGGAGAAGCAGCAAATGACTCGGGGCCAGGGCGGGGGGCAGGAGGGGCTCCCAGGGGACGTGGCGAGTTCGGCATGTGGAGCTGAGGGGCTGAGCCGGGCACTGGCAGTGCCCCTGGGCACCACACTGCCGGGAGCCCATCTGAGAAGACCGTCTTGGCCGGCACCACGTGTCCGTCTGTCTGCAGCCTGGCCTGAGCCCTGCCTGTCTGCTGCCGTGCCCCATGGGTGCTGCGGGTTTCCTCCCGCCCAGGATTAACCCCAGGGACTCCCACAGGGCCCCACTGGGATACGACAGTTCCCGGCCACCCAGCACAGGTCTCCTGAACACCAGGCCACGTGGACACAGCAGGGAGGGCCGGGGGTGGCTGGGCTCCAGTGAGCTCCCCCCATCCCCCCCAATGAGGCCACTCTCAGGACTGGGCACCCGCTAGTTTGTGGTTCTCACAGCCCTGGAAGGCCAGGAGCACCCCACCCGAGGCAGCCCCCCAGCTCCTGGCACGGCCTCACCTCTTCTCCTCCTCCAGCTGGTTCAGCAGCTCCACCTTCTCCCAGTCGGTCGCTTCCAGCATGGCCCGCAGCTCGTCCATCTTGGCCTCCAGCTCCAGGACGTGCTGTGGAGGCAACTGCGCGTGAGTGTCCTCGCCCACCCCCGACAGCCCTCTGTGGGCTGGCACCGCCACCTGCCACCGCGGCATGCTGAACACGTCTCCCACCTAAGCCGCAGCGTTTCTGGAAGGCCGGGGGGGAACCACACCACGAAAGCACCAGCGGGGATAACTCGGCGCTCCCTGAACCCCCACGGGGTGAGCAGAAGGTGCATGCGATCAAACCACGCGCCGGATGCCACCGCAACGACGGCAGACGGGGACCCACGGCCTCTCCCTGCACCGCCTGCACCAAGGTCGCGCCCAGCATTTGCCGCAAGCGTCTCTTGGCCCCGGCACTGCCGTCTGCACAGACGTCACCTGGTCGTGCCCGTCCCAGCCAGGGCCAGCTCCTGCTCTATCTCCCCCACATGGCTCGTGGCCTTGGCCACCTCCACCCGCTCCAGGTCTCGCTCGGCCAGCAGCTGCTCAATGTGCTGCTGCTTCTCCTTCAGCACCTCCTGGAGGGCGGTTGTGCTGGAGATCTTGCAGGCATAGCGAGAGGAGGTTTCTGGCAACTGCAAAGGAAAAAGAGACGTGAAGGGGGTGGGGGTGGCGGACGCGGGCATGCACACGGCTATCCTCAGCAAAGCAGATGGAGCAGCGCTGCATCCGTGCATATGGGCCAGCGACTCTCAGCAGAAGCGTCTTGAAACCTTCCCGAAGGTCCTTGGACGGGACCTGGGCTCCACTGACCTCGGGCCTCGTGGGAATCCAGAGACTCTTCTGCAGAGCCGGAGGCAGCCCCCTCCACAGCCCGCTCTGGCCTGAGCTTCCTTAAGGCTGAGCCC